ACTGTCTACCATGCCTGAGCCTATCTGAGAGTCCTCTATTTGAATCTTCTGATTTTCAATATCTCTTGTCAACCCAGACAACCTTTATAAATTAAGGAGGAAAGATATATAGTAGTCAAACTAATAAATAAAAATAAAATTATTCATCTTTTCTCACATTTCATTTCACCTGTAATCAAAGAACTTAAGAAGAAAACCAGATCATTTGAACTTTAGAATTTGTTTCTTTCAAAATAGTATCCTGATGGGCTTGATTAACTAACCTTGAATACTTACTTATGGCTAAGATTATCAATTCACATCCTGTAGTATTTATTTGTATATCATTTTAATCGATCAAATTTATTATTTTGTTATGATATCAAATAATTTAAATGCGATAAAATATATATATCTCCATAAAAATTTCCAGTTGCGCATGAAAATAGCTAAATTTGAATAATAAATAGCATACCGGTATTCATTTTATATAAATATTTTTTTATAATTCAGTATAACATAATAAATGGCATATTTTATTTAAGCAAATGTGCCTTATTATATATTTTACAGCACATATATATTTATATCTAATATTTATATATGAAAAAAGAAGACTAATGTATGACATAATCTAATTATACTTTTGCCCATACAGTGCCTACCGGTACCCACTTCCCAGATGAGCCAGATGAAGAACTAGACCCACTAAAGAAACCATAGCAACAACCACAACAACAAATGATGACTAAGACTACAATAATGATTGTAATAATTGAAGGTCCTGAAGACGAACTGTAATTAGAACTAGTAACATTTCTATAAGAAACCGGAAAGACGGACGTTATAGTATTTAACATTTCCTTATCACTGGAATCCGCATAAAGATCTGAAATAGCTATACCACCATACGAGTTACTTGTAATTAATTTAAGTTTATATTGAATTGATTGAGGATCTTCATAAGAGACATAATCATATACATAGACAGGCGTTGGCGAACCCACGACTAGTGAATTTGAATTAACTTTGTAAAGATAAGTAGTATTTGTTTCAGAATCAAATTTACGAGCCCAACCATTTCCGGCTGTACAGGTATTTATCAGCGGACCAGTTTGCTGATCAGTTTGCAGTCTCATAAAATACCAAGGATATAATTGTATAGAATTATCCAACGTAAATGAACATTTATCATAAAAAAGATAAATAGAGGGGTCGCTGCTATATGAAGTAGCGAATGGAGCAGTTGTTAAGTTACGTGGAATAGTT